AAAGAAAGAGTTGGCACACACATGTGCAATCTTTATAGATATGTGATGTTTAGGAGGCATAAGCCTAGCATGATGTGTGCAAAGAAGTGTTTACCAATACAGCTAAGGAGAGCTAGAGCTTAAGGTCTAATTGCCTGGTGTTACTCTGGTGTTACCCCAGTGTTTTTCTAAGAGTGTGCTATCCTAAAAATGGGAATAAATTAAACAAATAGATAACTCATAATCTTCTCAAATTCTCTAAATTACTGAAGAAAGAAAAATGAGTTTCTCTCTGTTAAAGTTACTGTCTTGGACCGAATCTTATAATGCAATGCTAGACATGCTGGATAAACATTATCACAAGCAGTTCAATTAGGCCCTTATTTGAAAGGCAAATATAAATCTCAAATATCTCAATTATTCAAAGAACACTATAGTATATATACGAACTTCAAAGAAAAGACCATAAGCCTATCAATTATTCTCTCCCTAACAGTTCCTAACATAGGAAAACAAACCACGGTTATGAGATTAAAAATAAAACCCCCCCAAAACTCAGCCTTTCCCTGATGTTAGCAAATATCAAAGAAAACCTCATTCTGAGAAATGCTTTTCAGTAACTAAAATCTGCCACTTTATATAAATATAAAAATAAATTCTATTCTAAAGCCCATACAATTTGATATCTATAACAAACATTTCAAAACAGATTAATAATTCTTTTAAATGATGTTACTGATATGCAACCCCAAAACATATGCAAATCTTACATATTGCCAAAAAAATTCCATATATGTCTCACGGCATGCTTCTCTGAAGTGAATAAAGTTGATAATGCCACTTAAAAACCGATTTGTCCGTTTTCCTTCTAAAATAGAGAATGAGAGTATTTAAAGTTTTGAACCAATATAAAAATGAAAATTCATCCTCTCCTACCACCTACTCTGCCCGTAATAAACTAAAACCGGACAGGCGATAACAAGGTGCAAAGAATCTGTTCTTACTTACAAGTCAGAATATTATTAACTGGAAAAAAAAAAGACAAACTACTTTTGGTCATGAAGAAATAACAGAGACCTAGAAAAACTGACAAAAGTATATGAAGCAACAAATTTTAGACCCTGGACAACACGGGCAGTAACAGGACAACAATCTCCAAGAGAACCGAATGAGGTAAACCCCAGAAATATACCAGCCCAGGACCTGGAGAGTCGTCAGGCTGTACCCCAGAGAGGGAGAACACAAACAAAACCTACAGGTCTTGCTAAATTAAGAAGACAGAGTTTAGAGCAGGGGTCCTCAAACTTTTTAAACAGGGGGCCAGTTCACTGTCCCTCAGACCGTTGGAGGGCCAGACTGCGGGCCCAGGACAAGTTGGCTGCTAAGCAGGACAGGTTAGCGGTGGCAAAAACACCCAGCAGGCCAGATAAATGTCCTAGGTGGGCCGCATATGTCCTAGGTAGGCCGTAATTTGAGGACGCCTGGTTTTTAGAGTTTGTAGAGACCAATGCATCTAGGATGTACGAGATTCAGTACTTGATAAAAATTATCTGCAAAGACAAAGAGTTCCAGATGCCTGTAGAGGAGTCTCCCCACGTTCTCACCTGAGTACTACTTGCTACATGAATATGAAGAAACTAATGCCAGGAAAATGACCAGAAATATTTAAAGTAGTTAAAAACAAAACTAATATCCAACAAGGTAAAATTCACAAAGTCTGGCATCCCATAAAAATGAC